GGGTGGGGGCGTGGGGCCCGGGGCTGGCACGGGGGGAGCCGGAGCTGAGCTCTGTCCCCAGGAGCAGCAGCCCTGGGCTGGGGACTGAGGTTCTGGGGGGACGGGAGGGGGTCTCCAGGCTGTGAACGCGTCTGTCGGGCAATGGCTGGAACTGCTGTGGGTTGAAAAGCAAATAAACACGTGGATGTTCCCCGGCTGGGCTCCTTTGCCAGGATGGGGGGCTGCTGGTCCCATGGCTGGTGGGGGGCAGGACCGGGGCTCACCAGCGGCCGCGGGGGCTGCTCCGAGCAGGTGAGTGCCGTGGTCCGAGGGCCAGGAGAGCCCCAGCGCTGCCAAGGGCAGGGCTCGGCGCGCTGGACTCGGGGGGGCCCTGCCTGAGCACCTGAGCCTGCGCCGTGGCCAAGCAGCCCGGCGCCGAGGGAGGGTGCGGTGCTGCTGGTGTGTGTGCTCCCCCTTCCCAGGAGAGAGGTGGCCGACCGGGGCCCCCACGCCTCCGAAATGGGCTCAAGGTCCTTCTCCCCCTCCCACAGGCCAGGCTAAAGCCCTTCCAGACTCCCCAGCCCATTAACCATCAGGCAAGCACAAGCAATCCCGTTACTGCACTCAACGCGTGACCACCCATCGGCTGCCCGGGGTGAGGAGGGGGCTGCGAGCTGTGCTGGGTGCTCCATCGCACCCCAGGGAGCGGGGGGGGCTGTGTGACCCAGGGCATCACTGCCACATGAAGTGTCCTGCAAAGCCCCGGGGCTGGAGGGGCCCAGCGCACCGAGACCCCCTCGCCATCCTCCCGCCGCAGCAGGAAAGCGCTGCTGCTGCAGTTTCCTGCCGCGTTGCTGTGGCAACATGGGATCCAGCACCGCACCGGGCTCCCGCGTGTCACCGTGTCACCACCAGCAGCGGCACAGCCACGAGGCCGGGTGACCCCCAGCCGTGTCCCGTCCTCCCGCGGGAGCGGCCGGTGGAGCCCCGGCAGGGAGGATGCCAACCCAAGGGCAGGGACCAGCAGCGAAGGCGGCAGCAGCGGTGCAGACTCAGAGATCTCATTTGGCATCCTCCCACGCCACCGCCTCCCCCAGACCCATCGCCGTACAGTGGCGGCGAAACCCCGCGCGACCTCGACCCGCGCGGGAGAGAAACACCCCCCCCCACGGCTTGTAAATCACCGCGGGGAGCGGCGGAGACCCGCAGGCAGGGATGGGGACAGCCGGGAGAGTGGGCAGGGTTGGGCAGAAGAGGAAAAGCAGCCAAAGCACAAGGGAGCACAAGGGAGCACAGCAGCAGAGCCACCACGGCGCTCTTGTCCGGCAGGCAGAGCCGGACGGGCCGAGGCATGGCTGCTCGGAGGGGTTCACAGCGGCTCCAGAGCACCATGGTCGAGGCTGGTTTTGCTCCACAGCCCGTGGGAGCTGCCACGGAGCAGGGGCTGAGCCCCACAGTGCCGCCGGTGGAGCCGCCCCAGCCCGGGGTGTGGTGGCAGGGGCAGCCCGTGCCCCTCAGAAACAGGGCGATGTGATGATGGCACCAAACTGCTGCTGCCAATTGGATTAACAGAGGATATCCCAAAGCCTCCGCCTTGCAAACATATGGATTATCCAGCATAACCCTGACTCGGCGCTGGAAAAGCCACGCAGGGATTAGCAGGAGGATTGCTGGCAGCAGCTCACGGCGCGGGGGGCTGCGGCAGGGGCACCGGTGGGTCGCGCCTGCCCGGTGAACGGGTTGGTGAGCCAGGGGTCCAACGCCATCTGGCAGCAGCACGAGGGCCATGGTGCTGCAGGCTGCCGCGTCCAGCCTTGCTGCGGGCGACCCAGGAAGGTGAAACGGAGCCATCGGTGACGGCCGAGGCTGGCTGGGACGGAGGCCTTGCTCCGGCAGCCTTGGCGGGGGGAAGGGGAGATGGGGGAGCTCACATCCCCCAGCCCCACACCGCCACCGCCGCTCTCACGGCTCATTGCGGTGAGCGATGGCATCACACGCCGCTTCACGCTGCCTCTGACCCAGCAGTTTCCATAGCGACTGCCAGCCCCACACCGCTCCCGCAGCCCCCCAGCAGCCGCTGCCGCCTCGCTTGGGGACCCACGGGGCCCGGGAGGGAGCGGGAGCTTCCTCCTCCTCCTCCTCCTCCTCCTCCTGGCCCCCGCCTGGGACACAGAGCACCCCTGCCCTCGGCCGCAGGCAGGAGGAGAGGGGCAGGGTGCCAAGGGGGCTGCCAGACCCCATCGCCCCACGGGCAGGGGCACGGCTGGAAGCTGCAGCAGGGGCTCTGGGTGAGCACCCCGGCCCCGCGGCTTTGAGAGGGGCCACGGCTCCTGCTGAGCCCCCAGGGAGCGGGCAGGGATGGGCAGGCGAGGGAGGCCCTGCCTGAGCCCAGCTCCCCTGGCACAGGCCTCAGCCAGGACCCAGCCTTGGGCCAGGGAGGGTCCCTTGAACCGTGAGCCGACCTTTCCCACCTGGGCCGTCCTCTGCCAGGAGCCCCCTGCACACCCCCGGACCTGGGGGTGTAAGGCGGGAGCAGCACCCGGCTCTGTGACCATCAAGGGCCCCGTGCTGCGTCCAGCCCTGTTCCTGCCGATGGGCACCCATTGCCCCCTCCCGCCCCCTGCCAGGGGCACCTGCACAAGGGCTTTGCAACCCCCTCCGCAGGGAGAAGGTGCCGCATTAACCAAACCCCAGCTGCTGACTGCTCCCGGGGCACCGGGCGTGAACACGGATTCCCCCCACCTCGTGGAATATCGACATCGGCCTGAAGGGAAGGCACCAGCGCTGGTCAGGGCCAGGGACCGAAGGAGGGATTCGCTTTCCTAAACCCTGCGCTTTAGAGCGAGGCGGCCGCTTGACAACTGTCCCACAGCACCTTCATCCGAGAATCCGCACCTTCGCTCCCCTGGGAGAGCTTCGATGTCCGGGGTGCCACAGCCCTGGGCGAGGGGGTCCCATCTGCTCCCGCTCCCTGCCGCGCTGCTGGGGCAGTTTGCAGAGCGCTGCTCCCCTGGCTGAAGCCCTTTGCGAGACGCTGAGTACCCGACGGGCACTTGGCAGTCCGGGAAGTCTGGCTTTAGCAAATATTGGCTGAGGCCTGGCCGCGTGAGCCGGCTGGGAAGCCCCCTTGCAGCCGGGGGCAGCATTGGTGGGGCTGGGGGCTCAGCCGCGGTCACCAAACTCACCTTCCGTACCTGGAGATGCTGAGGGCGCTGGAGAGACCGGCCTTTCGTAGGGTGTTCGTTCTGCAGCAACCTTCTCCCCCTTGCGCTGGCAGGGGCTCGCGGGGAGGAGCCGTTTGACCCAGAGAGCTGGCGACAGCAGCGTGCTCCCCCTGAAAACAGCCCAGGTTTCTGCAGGTCAGCGTTTTCCCGTTAAAGATGTGCTTAGAGAAGTTCCCTCCGCTGTCAGACGAGATGGCCTACCCAGCCGCACAGGTAAGAGCTGGCTCTGCAGTGCAGGACCGCCCACAGGTGCTTTCCCTCCCGCACCCAACACGGGCTCTGCCCCATCCCTGCCCTCGCCTTGGCGGGGCGGCTGCAGGAGGCGGCAGCGGGGCTGGAGAACATCCCCGTCCCTGGGATGCTGGGCCCTGCAGGGCTTTCGGGATCGAGCCCCCGGCAGGATCGGGCCCCCGGCAGGCAGCTGCCGCCGTTGCCATGGCGACCCAGCCCCTCGCAATCGATCTTCGCTTTGCCTGCAGCAAGAGCCGGAGGCCCCAATTACTGCACCGGGCGCTAATCAGCAATGCACTCCTCATCGGGAGGGGTGCAGGGATTCCGCCTGGCGGCGCAGAGGAGGGGGCTACCTGCGCAGGGCACCGCCGCCTGCTTTTCCTGCTACGCTGCCTGGTTTTCACTGGAAGGAGAAATAAATGCCGAAGCCGCTGCCCGTAGCTTTACCCCGTTTCCATGAATCTGCCGAGCACCAGGAGGTGCTGCTACCTGCGAGCAAGCCCGGGGCAGGGCTGCAGGCACCACGGACGCCAGGACGCCTCTCTGGAAGATCAGCTTGCAGCAAACCTTCCTGGCATGAACGACCACCAACCTCATCTAGAAAGTCAGAGGCCCGGGGGTGCGGGTTTAAATAACAACCCTTGGGGGCCAGGAGCGGGCTCTGCACCTCGTAACCG